CCCGTTGTGGTCGGTGACGGTACCTATCAGGCGAAGATTGACATGGAGTTCGTAGTCGTCAACTTGGACAGCGCCCACAACATGATCTGGGGCCGACCGGCCTTGGAGGACCTTGAGGCCATCATCTCCATGAAACATCTATGCCTCAAGTTCCCCACCAAGGACGGCGTCGGCTATGCCAGAGGAAACCAGAAGATAGCCAGGGCTTGCTACCTGAAGCTCACAAGGAAGATCAATGAGGCCGAGGAGCGGATAGACACTATCACCACCGCCTCGGCCGAAGAAGACACACCAAAAGCCGAACCGGTCGGAGACGTGGAAGAGGTTTCGTTGGACGTCTCTCGGCCGGAACGCGTGCTGAAGATCGGGACCCAGCTCCCCCAAGATATCCGAAGGGACATACTCTCCGTCTTGAGAGCGTACGCCATCGTCTGCGCATGGGGACCAGAGGACATGCCGGGCATCAGCCCAAAAGTAATCACGCATCGGCTCTCAGTCGATCCAGCATCCTCCCCCATCAAGCAGAAGAAGCGCTACCTCTCGGCCGACAGGAGGGAGTTCGTCAAGGCCGAAGTAGCCATGCTGCTCTCCATCAAGCACATAAAAGAAGTGAAGTACCCCACGTGGTTGGCAAACGTCGTCCTCGCACCAAAGCCGCCCACGTTCAGAATGTGTGTCGATTACACCGACCTGAACAAGGCGTGTCCGATGGACCCATTCCCTCTCCCCAACATTGATCAGTTGGTGGACGAGACGGCAGGGTGCGAGTTGATGTCGTTCCTCGACGCGTTCAGAGGGTACCACCAGATATCAATGCATGAAGATGACGCGGAGAAAACTGCTTTCATGACCCCGGAGGGAATCTTTTGCTACCTCGTCATGGCCTTTGGGCTCAAGAATTCCGGCGCCACTTATACAAGAATGGTAGCCCGGATTTTTAGAGCAGTCTTAGGCCGGACGATGGAAGCATACGTCGATGATATGATCGTCAAGAGCAAACAATCCACAACTCATGCCGACGACCTCCGGGGCATCTTTGAGATCATGAAGAAATACAACCTCCGGCTCAACCCGAAGAAGTGCACCTTCGGCGTCCAGGGAGGTAAATTCCTGGGGTACCTGGTCAGCCGAAGGGGCATTGAAGTGAACCCGGAAAAGATACAAGCCATTATCAACATGGAGCCGCCCCGCAACATAAAGGAGGTGCAACGGCTGACGGGACGCATTGCGGCCTTAAACCGTTTCCTCTCAAAATCTGCTGAGAAGTCTCTCCCCTTTTTCCAAATAATGCGGAAGGCCACCAGCTTCAAATGGACGACGGAGTGCCAACAAGCCTTCGAGGAGCTAAAACAATATCTCACCTCCCCACCCGTCCTATCCAAGCCCCAACCCGGCGAGACTCTCTTCCTCTACTTAGGAGTGAGCACATCGGCCGTCAGCTCTGTGCTCATCAGGGAGGATGACGGGGTGCAAAAGGCTATATTCTACGTCAGCAAGACGTTGCGGGAGGCCGAGCTCAGGTACTCCCCCATTGAGAAGACGGTGCTGGCCATCGTCCACACGGTGAAGAAGCTTGGACACTATTTCCAAGCTCACCCCGTCCATGTCCTCACGCATCAGCCGTTGGGCGCCCTAATGAGAAGCCCAACCAGCTCTCCAAGGATGATCAAATGGGCAATATTCTTGAGCCAGTACAAGATTGAGATCAACTCGAGGCCATCTATCAAAGGGCAAGCCTTGGCTGACTTTGTCACAGAATGCACAGCGAGGGAGACGGCCGTCACCACCACCGGCCATGAACCAGATGAAGCATGGACCCTCTTCACGGATGGGTCATCGGCCAACAAGGCATGTGGGGGTGGCGTCGTCCTCATCTCCCCGGAAGGTTTCAGAGCATACTATGCCATCCGCTTCAATTTCAAAGTATCCAACAATGAGGCTGAGTACGAAGCGCTCCTCAGCGGGCTCAGACTAGCCGCTGGCCTCAAAGCACGCCACATTAGAATCAAATGCGACTCCAAACTCGTAGTGAACCAGATGGAGGGCTCCTACGAGGCCAAAGAGGGGAGAATGAAACAATACAAGGAGGCCGCTGCGGAATTGCTCAAGGCGTTCGATACCTACGAGATCACTCAGATCCCAAGGGCGGAGAACGCCGAGGCTGACATACTCTCCAAACTCAACTCCGACACCCCTGAGCACATCTCCAAGATAGCGAAGGTGGAGGAGTTGAGCATGTCAAGCATTCACGCTAGCCCTATACTCTCCATACAACACCAGCCGGAGGACTGGATCACCGACATCGCAACCTACATCACCTCCGGCACGTTACCAGAAGACGAGGAGAGGGCCAAACTCGCCAAACTCAAGGCGCCAAACTATGTCATTGAGGGTGACAAGCTCTACAAGAGATCCTACAATAACACCCTCCTCCGGTGCCTCCACCAGAATGAGGCCGAAGTGGCCATGGAAGAAGTCCACTGCGGCGTATGCTCATCACATCAGGGACCCTTCAGCATGTCACGCCGCCTCGTCGTCCAAGGCTACTTCTGGCCGACGATGGCACGCGATTGTGCAGAAGTCGCCCGCAAATGCAGCGCATGCCAGCATTATCAAAGGGCACCTGGCCGACCAGCCGTCAACTACGCCCCGGTCAGCACTGCCATTCCATTTTCCAGATGGGGCATCGACCTCGTCGGCCCGCTACCTAGAGCTGCAGGCAACAACAGATACATCATCGTCGCTGTCGACTACTTCACCAAATGGGTCGAGGCCGAACCTCTCGCAAGCATCACCAGAGCGCGGTGTCGAAAGTTCGTCTACAAAAACATCCTCACCCGCTTCGGCGTGCCTCAAGAGATCATATCAGACAACGGCACCCAATTTGAGGCCGAACCGTTCCAAAGACTCCTCCAAGAATGGGGCATCAAACACCGTTTCTCCTCCGTCGCCTACCCTCAGGCCAACGGGCAAGTTGAGAACGCCAACAGAACCATCTTGGAGGGGCTGAAAAAGAAGCTGGAGGAAGAAGGCGGAAGTTGGGTCGACGAGCTCCCCGACGTCCTATGGTCCTACCGAATTACTCCAAGGAGGGCCACCGGGGAAACACCATTCTCTTTGTGCTACGGCATCGAAGCCAAGGCCCCCACTGAAATCACCCTTCCCAGTCGACGGGTCACACAATACGACCCCGAAGCCAATGAAGAAGCCATGAAGATTGACTTGCACCTCATCGACGAAAGGCGGGAGATGGCTTACCTTCGGGCAGAGAACTACAGACGCCAAGTCAAATCCTACTACGACGCCAAGGTCCGCTCTCGCGAATTCCAAGTGGGGGACTACGCCCTCCGCCGAAGGGAAGCAAGCAAGCCAATGGAAGGAGGAAAGCTTGCCCTCAAATATGAAGGGCCCTACATCATCAGCGCCGTCATCAAAGCCGGCACCTATAGACTAAAGAACCCTAATGGGTCAGATGTACCACGATTGTGGAATGTACACCATCTGGTGAAATTTTACCAATAACTCGAGAAGTGGTGAAGTGGGCAACGTCCCCCACCCCTCGGCTTATTGGTTGAATGAAACACCCCCGGCCTAGCGCCACTTATGAATAAAGATCATGTTTCATCCAATCATTCAAGATCTAAAGAAAAAACTAAAAACCGCATCGGCCTAAGCAGGTGATAACACCCGGGACCGATGCGACGTAAAGCCGTTGCAATACACAACGCACCTAAAGCCGTTGCAATAAACAACGCACTTAAAGCCGTTGCAATACACAACGCACTTAAAGCCGTTGCAATACACAACGCACCTAAAGCCGTTGCGATAGACAACGCACCCTAAGCCGTCGCAATAAACGACGCACCCAAAGCCGTTGCAATAAACAACGCACCTAAGGCCGTTGCGATCCATAACGCGCCTACAAAGCCGTTGCGTAGACAACGCACCCAAATATCGTATCGGCACAAGCGGTGAAACACCCAAATCGGCCGGCGATATGCAGGACGAAGGACCTGTGTTCATGGTCCGACGTCTTCAAACGGAGAAGCATACCGCGTCGTCCGCGCGGAAACCGCAGGACGACAAGCCTGAATTAAGGCCGAGGTTACAAAAACTCCACCCGTCAGTAAAATTTCGCTCAGGACCACAAAGGGCGGCCGTCAAAAGACGATGCCTAGTCCGGTCCCTCGTCGATGGTAGACGTGGAAAGGCCAAAAAAGATGCCACTGACACACCAAGCCGAGGGCGTATTTACTCCCTCGCACTAATTCACGCGAAAAGCGTAGCGGACAAACTACCGCACATGGACGAAGGGACAGTAACCCTTCGGCCACCCAAAAAAAGGGGGGGGGGGGGAAGCCGACGGACCGCGCACTCGCCGGCCTCGAGCACAAAATAAAATCCCCAAACCCAAGCCTCAAAATCGGCTAAGTACATATCAGGTCTTCACCACACAGGAACACAAAGTGTACGCTTCGGCCTCAACCACGACATCATAAGGTTGAATCGCTTCGGCTCAAACATACGAGACCACACTCGGACGATATGTCGCATCGTCTACAAGTGGCAAAAACCAAGTGATAAACCGAAGCAAAACACCTACATCAAGGCAAGCTTGACACTTAGACAAATTTCTAAGTCACATTACCGCAAAGATGTTGCGCTACCAATGGGCATCGCCCCGTCCTCAACGCTTCGAGATTAAGCTCCAAAAACTTGACTCGAGATCAAAACAAAAATGGAATTCACCAAGGGACGACGAGGCGCATCGTATTCAAGGCCAGTTAAGGAAAAGGGATTGCGGCATGCTCGTGGGTACATAGACGAAGGAACGCTTCGTCTCAATCCGCCCGGAGTATACTTACCCTTAACACTTGGCAAAATTTGCAAAAAATCAAAAGGTGCATACGAATTCAAAAAAGACGAAGCAACGACACATTCATTCATTGAGATAAAAGAAGTTCATTAATCTTTTGAAGATACAAATGGTGGGCGCTTCAGCCATTACATGCACTTCAGTGTTATAGCTACAAAAACTAAATACAAAGGAAGAAACACTAAGCTACCACATCAGCCGGCATTCCGCCATCAACAACACCATCACCGTGGCCGTCATCGGCATCATCATCACCACCATCATCCTCATCGGCCTGGAAATTGGCGGGCCCCTCGAGCAGGTAATCATCACTATCGCTCCACGGGTCTTCCCCTTCGTCCGAACTCATGATCGGGAGCTGCCTTTCCGACGGGGGAAGCTTCATATCCTCATCAGGATTCTTCATTCGCCGAGGGAGACTCAGACCTCTCGGCCTCATCTTCCGGAAGCGACGACGAAGCTTCCTGTAGATCAGCTTCTGCATCCTGTACTGACCACAGTCGTAGAAAGCTTGCATCTCGTTCATCCAAAATTCTTCGCCAGCGGGATCCTTCGTCATCCAGTCGGTCAACCTTTCAGCAACCACCTCGTAGCAGAAGGAGAGCTGATCATCGACTTTCCACCCCTTGGCCTTGAAGTCAGCTATGGCCTTTTCAGCGGCCTTCTCAGCATCGGCTTTAAGCCGCTCCGCCTCCTCGGCTCTCTGGAAGGCAGTGGCTGCGGCCTCATCAGCCTTTTTCTGGGCCGCCTCGGCCTCATCGAGCCGGACCTGGAGAAGCTTCATCTCGTCCTCTGCGGCCCGGGCCTTGTCTCTCAGATCTTGGAGGGCCTCATCGGCTGAAAGAGCCTTAGCCTCCACTTTCTTGAGTCGCTCAATCTCGGCCTCCTGTCTCCAGTGCTGCTCCCTCAGCATCAGGGCACCCTGGACGAAGCGGAGTTTGAAATCAAAGGACAGCAACAAAAGCAAAGGAAAAATTACAATGGAAAATATCTTACCTGGACGACGTAGTCAAGTCCTCCATCGTATAGCCGGACATGACTGCCCTGGCGTTGGAGATACTGTCGGTCATAGTCGGGGATGGCCTGAGCGAGCACATCGTCGCCACTGACAGTCTCATTAAAAAGCCCGCCTTTCACGGGGTAACGTACGGTGACCTCGTACGTCCCCTTGGCAAGGGCCTCCTCCAGACGAGCAGCGGCGGCCGTAGAGGGAAGCACGCGAGAAGCCGAAGCCACCACGGCCGATGAAGGTGGATCATTCACAGGAGGGACCACTGTCGGCTGGACATCCATGACAGCCTGAGAAGAGGGAGCGCTGGCCTCGTCATTCGTTGGAGCCCCCCTCGTCTTCTTCGAGACCTGGCTCGGTTTCAGCCCTGCTTCGGCCAAAGTCTTTTGGCGCTCATCGGCTCCGCTCTTTTTCTTCACAGCAGGCTTTTTGGCGGCCTCACCACCTCCCTGAGAACCGCCGGCAGACTTCTTTGCCTCCTCAGCGGCCTGAGCGGCCCTCAGCTCCGCGTCGGCTTTCTTTGCAGCTCGGGCCATGAAGGACATACGATCCATCTCAAAGCCTGCACAAACAAAAACAAAGAAAAACAACAAAGGTCAGCAAAGGAAAAACAAAGCATTATGAAAAAGTGAAGAAGACGAAGGACAACCTTCGGCTTCGGCAGGGACACCAAGTGAGGGGCCGTCGGCCTGTTCATAAGACCCCTCCATCTTCGGCCAGAAGCCATCGTCCACATCACCAAGGCAGTAATACCTCACGAAGTCGAGGGCAGCCATCCTGTACTTCGTAACGTACGTCTTGATACTCCTTGCCCCCCCCCCCCCCCCCTTGATGAAAGCCTCTACTTGATTGCTTATTTCGGCACCCCGTGGGGGGGAATGCAACTGGAACATGCCACTATGGCCATTGGAAGGAAAGAACCCGCCTCGGCCCAGAGTCACAAACACGAACTTGGCTTTCCAGCCATGTATGGACGTAGGGAGATCCTTAAACGACCTCCTCCCATTAACCTGCTGCAGGGTTGCGTAACCAGCACAGTTCCGGTGGCTCCCTCGGCCAATCCGGAAAAGATTCATGAAAAGGGCAGTCGTCGGCGAGAACCCCAACTCGTTGCACCGAATTAAGAAGCCAATGATGATGGAAAAGCTATTGGGAGTCAGCAATGCTGGTGGGAGCTCAACCATATCCAAATACTCCTTGATGAAAGGGTGCAGAGGGAACCTCAGGCCCTTGGCGAAGCTCATTGGATAGACCCCGAAGTAGCCGGGAGGCGGGTTTAAAACATGATCCGACGGCAGGGGGGCTCTAACACGGCCGTAGGGGCCAACGTACAGCTGTGCAACATGGTACTCGCCGAGGGACCCCTCCGGCCGAATAATGTATAAATTGCTGAGATCTAACTGTGAAAATCCCTGCGGCACCCCCTCACGCCTTTTCCGCCGATAAGCTTTCTTCGTCCCATGAGACGAGGGGCCTTTCCCCGCTACGGACGATATTGGCGGAGGGCAGGGAATGTGGGCTGAAGACGATGCCTCATCCCCCCTCAGAGGCGAACTAGACATCGCCTCATCCTCACCCGAATGATGGGCCCCCGCATCGGCACTCATCCTCTCCTCGTCTACGAAGGTACGGTAGTCAGCTGTATTCTCCATCTCAGCTTCGAATGCTTCCACTATCCGAAGATCAACCCCGGGGGACGTGCCTTCGTCGTCAAAAGGCCAATCCGACTCGTCCAAAGAAGCTGTCAAATCAATGGGGGAGGGAACGCTACGGCCGTTAGAGAACGGCATAACACCTACACCTATTCCTAAGGGTGGTTTTTTCGGATCAAAGTGGTTCCCCTACAAACACTAGATCTAACCACCTAAGAAGCAAAGTATAAGGAAAAAACGAAGAACAAAGAAGAATCTAACCTTTGAAGATTTGAAGATCTGAAGGAAGGTTGATGAACACTCAGAGAAACCTTGGAGCTTTCTCTCTCTAGAAAGTTGGGCAGCAGTTCGGCACTCAGCAAGATTGCAAATGAGGTACTGCCTCGGGGTTAAGGGGAATTTATAGACACCCCCTCCAACGGTCACTACACGTGGCAACCTCCTAGTGGTCACCACAGCGGCACCTCTCCCAGAACCAATCAACGCATGTCTTTTCACATTCCACTCTAAGGCCACCACAATGGCCCAACAAGCCCCAAAACTAGGGTGGGCATCGGCTTACTCACTCCAAATCAAAGGCTAAACTCGCTACGGCCCAACTTACCAAAAGGGTTGACCACATCATCCAAGAACGCCCCTACGGCCCCAAAGTGACCCAATGAACCACAAGCACCGCTACGGCTACTTACGCGCACATCGTTTGATGATAACCCTGGTATTGCGGCCTTCGTCCCAGGGTTCTCCCACAGGGTTACCTTGGACATGTTCGCCTAAGGGTTGGACTCACGACTAACGCGTAAGGTGTCACATCGGCTGGAGTACATCATGACTCCCTTGTGCCTCAAATACTCTTCGGCCAAAGGAGTGGGGGACTGGGGGACTGTATCGGCTACAGAAAAAAGAAAGCAGCATAAGTCGGAGCGCAACGGCCTCAATACGCAAAGAATTCGCTGCGGATAACCAACAACAAAAGACAAACAAATCACCTCAATAGCACTGAGGATCGCATCGGCTACAGAGCCCAGAAATTAAAAACCCAAAATGCGAAAATTAGCACGCAACGACTACATACACTGGGGGGACTGCGTCGGTTCACCACAGCAGGAACCCACAAGTCAAAAACGCTTCGGCTGCATGGCAAAACAAAATCAAAAAACGCTTCGGCTGAATCGCATTGTCCACATAGACGGAATCAACCACCTTCACTTCATAAAACAAGATCACCCCTGCGGCCAAATTACGAGGGAGCTCTTCGGCCAAATCGCCAGTTTTCCATCAGAATTCACTTCTACGGAAAAAATAAAGCGCATCGCCTCGTCCTCAAAAACACTTTCACAAGGAACGCATCGGCCCGCATCAAGACCACGAATCCCCGAGAGCGCTTCGTCTCATTCACATAAAGAAGCCGCTTCATCCAAAATCAAAGCAGAACCTCTTCGGCCACCAAGCACCTCGAGCTCACGCAACGGCCAGCCAGAAAGGAACAAATACTCCCTTTCGCTTCGGCTTCGCCTCAACTCAGAGAGTGGGGGACTCCTGATAGAGTATATGGGCCTGGACCCCATGGCCCACATACTCAAGTCAACGACGACCAGAAGAACACCCACGTGGCCCCCTTCGGCCAGTGGGTCCGCATCGGCCAAAAACCGAACCGGCCCAGGAAGCACGCCTGGACTCCCGGGGCCCGCATCGGCCCATGGACCGCATCGGCCATGAGACCGCATCGGCCAAAGGAACCGCATCGGCCAGACTTCGCCCTAGCAGAATGCATCTCTCTACTTTATTTACTAAGTATTGTACACAGCCCATTAGTGGCCCTATTTCGCCCAAAGAAGGCATGATTATTGTAATGGGCCTCCTAAGCCCATGGCTAGGAGCCCAAATCCACATTTTTACCTATAAATAGACCCCTTGGGGCTAGTTATAGGGGGTTGAGAAATATAATTACTCACTTTCTCTCTCTAGCTCTCACTTCTCTCTAGAATTAATACTTTATCACATAATATGTATTTATACATTATATCATTGCTCACAAAGTTTCTCAACGAGTTTACTTAGTTTTGAATTTTAAATAATATATGTTACACAACTTTCTTTTAGTGAATTTTTATAATACGTATAATTTCTGAAGTAAGTTTCACTGAGTCTTGATAGCTTATTCAAAAATTATATAATTGAAGTTATAAATAAAAATTATTCTAAAAGTGCGTACTACTATGAATTTGAGATGATAATTATGACTATAAATTTTATAAGTAGATGATGATAAATATGGTATACTGATGAACAAAGAATAATGTTGAAACCACTAAATAACAAAGTTAGTGTTTAACTAAAGAAATTACATAATTTCATGTTTGATACTTCATTGTCGGGATTAAGCAGGATTCCCGATCGGGAACCCGGCTTAATCAGGATTTTAATGTCAGGATCCCAACTTAATCGGGACGGGATACGGGAACCTCTTGTATTTTGAATCGGGGTCGAGATTTGGCAATCGGGATCGGGATCATCCCGGTCTCACCCCTACATTAAATGTATAGGTGATCAACAATGGTTTAAAAGCAAAAAATAAAAACTCATCCATGTGACCCCGTGTTTTTTATTATTACAATACAACTACTAAATACTAAAATTAATTGCATGACGGTTAAAGCTAGCATCCTAAAAGACTAAGGGGGTGTTTGGTTTGGGGTCTATCAGCCATTTTTTGGCTGATTGACTACTATTTGGCTGTTTGACCATATCAATCCGGCTATTAGTGTTGTTTGGTTAATGGCTTTTTAACTTTTAGCATTGGCCGTCCGTGTATCTACAGTATTATTCCAATTCTACCCAGTCCCTCGCTTCACTTCATAAGTTCATATCACCGCTCACTCTCCTTACATCTTCCAGCCAAAATAATCAAAGTGGCGGTTGAGCAGCACATCCAGGTATCTGTTTTCACTAGTCCAAGGTGTTCTTCTTATTCACATGAATTTTTTGTACTGCATATCAAGGTTATGCATTTTTCTGCATATGTATAGCTTGAAGGCCGGATTCAAAGTGAGGAAGAGATGTTCTATTTCTTCTGTACGATGAAGAATAATTTCTACTCCGTATTTCTATATATATACATACATATATAAATGTATGTATGTAAATGACTGTGTTTATCAGAAATTGAAAGCTTTAGCCTAAAATGGTCTTAATTCGTTGAAGACAATCCAGGCAACAATCTCCACTATTCTGCCACGCTGTGAGATTCATGCGAAGAATGAAAAATCATGTGTTAAAGAATTGTTACTTGTCTTACATAAATTATTATTTTTATTAAACAAAAATGGTGTAATTACTTGTGAAAATAACATGGTTGAATTGTACGGACTATATATAAAGTGTATAGTTGGTAAACAAAGAAATTATTAATGTCCTTAAAAGTCATTTAATAATTTATCAGCTGATGGTAAACAGTTATTTAACCAAACACTATTTTATAATACATACTACGTATAATATAATTAAGTAGTTCTTAAATTTAGATTTCCTAGGGCTGCGCCGCTGGGTAGCTTTTCCGAATTCAATTTCTACAATCGAAGATCGGCTGTGGGGTTTTGTCTTCTTCTTGCTTCGTCTTCAAGCATCGAAGGTTTCAGGTGACTAGCTGCGGCTTTGCGGTTCGGTCGGGGTGAAAGTTTGGTGTTTATTTTTGTTTTGGTTTCGGTTGGGGCAGAGCGACGAGGTGATTTTGGATCGTGATTTTGCTCGGGTTATGGACTTCTTGCTTGTGCCACTGGTTTCGATTGGGGAAGCCAAGCATGGATTTCGGGTTCATTCGGGCTATAATCATAGGGATTAGGAAGATGCCTGGGGAAATTGTGGTGGTGGGTTTGCAAGGAATGTTTCAAGATGAAGGATTGATGATCTGTCCCCCCTCCTGAGCCACCACCGAGGATGATTTTTGAAGCATGGATTCGGTTGCCCTGCCAGTTTATTTTATTTATTTTCGTTTTACTCCACGGTCAGACTATTATGTTTTGTTTTTACTCCTTTTTCTGCTATAAAACTCTTACATTAGGTTTGTGGGTTGAGAGGTTTACGGTAATCGTCGTTAGCTTTAATTTGCCCAAGTTAGGTCTAGCGAGTTATATTGCTTTGTCAAAGGTGATTAACTCAGAGTCTCGACCAAGGGCGGATGGTTACATGTGGTCCTTTCACGTTCTTGTACCCCTGTTAAATGCTATTTTAATGATATAAGCGTCTTACGATAAAAAAACACTATTTTATAAACTGCTAGTACTATCAGCTAATCAAAACAGTCAACATAATCAGCCAACAGCTAACACAATCAGCAACGGCCAACAGCCAACAGCTAATTGCCCAAACACCCCCTAAAACTTAAAATACTATTAGATTTTTGATGTTTTTCCAAACAAGCATATCAAAATTATAGTTCTTCTAAAACTGACATTTTTTAGTATAAACTCTTACACGTAAACAATAATAAATGCGCGTAGCAGCCGCACAATTTTTCTCATATGTCATATGTCGTCTTGGTGAAAATATAATGATGAGTTTAAATTGAGTGTTATTTGATGATCATGTGAAAATAATGATTTTAACTCAGTCTCATTCTATTGTTACAATGTCTTATTTGTTGACATTAGTTTACAAAATTATGTCTTAGACTTAATTACTATTTTTATTTTTGTCATCGACGTATGGAATTATGAATTATTCTTTTATGTAGTAGTGAGATTTTCCACTTGAATATGTGTATACTTTTATTTCTTTTTACTATACTTGTATATGTTATTTTGTGAAGTATATAATTTAAATGTTCAAAATAATACACCGTATTTTTTGTCCGAATTATACATGTATACGTATTTACACATTTTTAAAAGTCAACGTTTTTTCAACGAATTTTTGACCGCTTTTTCATTAATGTTACAAATAAAATGGGTATGTATTAAATCTCGTTTAATTCCCGTACCGTATTTAACTAACTATGATACTCATACAATATACTCCATGGGAAAATTCCCTAAATAGGACCAAATAAGACTAAAATCGCAAGAATAGGATTCAATCTTTCCTTCAACTGGCGTAGGACTATAAATCCAGCAAATTTCCAAAAATGACCTCCGTATGCACGCGCATAAGGAAACCGTCATAAAGTGGAAATGATGATTCAGACTTTCCACTGGAGATGCCAAGTTCGCTTGACATTAGAATCAACTCCACAATGGTATGTATTGCTTCTGATTACCTTCAATGGCATTTTCGCACACCTTTCGTATATTGTGTTGCTTCTAAATGAGTATATGTTCACTGAAATGGAATTTATTGGTTAAATTTGAATGATGTTGGTATTGTATTAACATAAGTAGTCTGTAATGGCATTTAGATGAATAATAGCATATTAAAATGGCATTTAGATGAGTAATAACATAATAACAAGCAAATGTCGAATAAAACAACCTTTTAATGGAATTTAAACATTGCTCAATCAAGTCTATCTTATTATGGAATGACATTATAGGTTTTGTAAAAGAAAAGTATTTCATAAAAGTATATTGTCAATGAGAGAAGAAGAATTTCATGTGATGTTGTTATAACATGTCAATTTCTTAGATTATTTGTGCTTAATGACGCATAGGAATGCCATATATGTGTTACAGAGTATTGTTTAAATGAAAAGTTTTTTTTGGTAATGTTTGGTTTGCATTTAATGGAACTGTGATGATGCTATATTTGTGGAACTTACCATAATTAAATGTCATATGATTGTGTTTTGTGTTTTAGGTTTTGTTGGTAATGTTTGGTTTGGATTTTATTATAGTGCCATATTAGTGGATGTTACGAGAATTAAAAGCCATTATTTGTTTTATTATCATATGACTGAGATGATGGTGAATCATATATATAAATTTGTTCACATATTAAACAAAAGAAGTGCATATTCATGGCATTCCGTAGGACATTTTAAAGACATTCTTTTGTGTCTAGTAAATTTTGATATGATATGATAGTGTTTTGTGTTTTAGGTTTTTTATGGTAATGTTTGTTTGCATTTTGACATACTGACATATTAGTGTAATTTACGAGAATTATATGCCATTATTTTTTTATTACCACATGACTGAGATGATGTTGAATTATACATCTAAACTGGTACACCTGCACATATTAACAAAAAAAAGTGAATATTCATGGCATTTTGTAGGGCATTGTGAAGACATTCTTCCGTTTCTTTAGTATCTTCTGATATGATATGATTGTGTTTTGTGTTTAAGGTTTTTTTGGTAGTGTTTGATTTTCATTTTGACAAAATTCCATATTAGTGGAAATTATGAGAATTAAATGCCACTAATTGGTTTATTATCATATGATTGAGATCATGGTGAATGATATATGTAGTATATAAATATGTTCACATATTAAACAAAAGAACTGCATATTTATGACATTATGTAAGCATTGTGAAGATATTATTCTTTTTCTTTAGTATCTTTTTCTAAAACTAGAAAAAGAATAGAAACTGACATATTCATGGCATTCTGTAGTGCATTTTTAAACAAGTGAATTGTATTGATTTCTTTATTAATGTCAAATAAACAGATGTGCAAAGTAATAGATGACATGTGTGTCAATTCCTACTGCAATCTGCACAGAGTAATGGAAAGGGTAAGGAAAGTTCTGAGTAAAGAGGAGTTGGAGGATTTCAAAACAACTGTTTTTGGTTGGCTGGTAGATTTTGATAGCATGGAATGAGTTAGTGGACAACTACAGCTTGGATTTGTAAGAAACGGTGTGATGTATGTTAATGGGTTAATTGACAAGAATGTAATGAGATTCCATATCCAAAAAAGTGTGATAAGTTTCACAAAGAAGGATTTGGCAATAGTGACTGGTTTAAAACTAAGTGGGGTGAAGTCGGTACTCTCAGAAGAGCCCAAGGGAGATATCTGGAATCGGTATTTGGGAGGCAAGACCACAGTTACGAGTGACATTATAAAGGCAATAAGTAGTTACACAAGTAGTGATCCAGGAACTATGAAGGTATGATGGGGTCAAGCTTGCACTTCTGTATGTAAGTTCACATGGGTTTTTAAAAAATCAAACAGCAAAACCAATGGATTCATACTACTTGAATCTCGTTGATGATTTAGAAACTTTTAAAGCCTACCCATGGGGTGAAGTTGTTTGGAATCAGCTGTATGAAACAAAGTTGTGAAGCACTGGAAAGCTGTAGATGTGAAAGAGTGACATTCCCAGGTTGCATGATTGCACAAGTCTGGGCATTTGAAACATTCCCAATTCTATCAAACGAAGGTTTGTGTAAAGTAATAGATGAGAGAGAACATATAATGCCAAGGACACTAAAGTAGGCATTTCATATGAAGCCTCGACTAGAAGTTTTGTGTGACCTAATTTTCTATAATGATAAGGTATATGAAATACTAATAATATAGTATACTATTTATTATATGATTAAATATATAGACACTAATATTATTACTAATATGGTGGGTTATGTCAGCTTGAATGGACATGTATTGTTCCAATGGAGCAGGAGCTTGAATTAATTCAAGGAGTCAATATTGATGGTGCTAGAGTGAACACTGAGGAAGATGTGCAAAGAAAAGATGCAAATAGAGCTTCGAGTGTAGAAACCAACGGTGTGCAGCCTAAAACACATAAAAGAGCAGTGAAGAGGTGCAGAACAGTTAAGGAAAATGTTGGAGAAGGCACTTTGAAAACAAAAAAGAAGGGTAAAAGAAAAACATAACAAAGATAGTGATTATGAAGCAGAAGAAAGTGACAAAAACAAAGATGACAATGAGGATGAAAGTGGAGATAAGGCATGTATTGATTCACGTATAAGAAAAAGAGACGAAAAGATGAAAGGAAAGGGCAAACAAACAATACGATTTGCCAAAAAAAGGAAGTTGTGAAAGAAAACAATGTTGGAAAAATGTGTTAAAATTGCATTAAATGATCAATTTGGGGCAATAATTTGAGTGGGGTCCACTCACGGTTTGGGTCGGGTCAAAGTGGTTTTGAATTGTACTTGTTAAGGGCTACAATTTGATATAAAGGTTTCTATTTCTACTTTATGAAGCAATTATCACTTTTAAATGACAACTTAATCATCAAACATTAAAAATAATACATCTATAATATCCCAATTATCACCATTAACCGCATTATATTATATACATATCAAATTTATTTCTCAAAATATACTCAAGTTACATTATTTAATTATTATTGTCTAAATAATCGTGTCATTTGCAATGAGATCCCTTCAATGAGATGGAAGTAGTATTAATAGGAAAAATTGACAAAAATAATCTCACCTTTCACTTCTCTTCTCATAATAATCCCACCATTACGTTATCCCAGAATAATCCCACCTTTTCATCCCATCATCTTTCATTGAACCCTAACTTGTTGATGACCTACTATACCAGGTTTTTACCCTTTCTTTGAAAATCTTATATAAATAATCTGACCTTTCACAAATCTGCTCAAAACGGCCTCATGTTTCATTTTTTCTTATTTCTCCCTAAATTTTTTTCTTCTATATTTTCATCCCTAGACACTTTTTATTCCTTTTTCTACCCTTTTTTTCTTATTTCTTTTCCATTTTTATTATTCTATTTCTTATTCTATTAGGATTTTTTTTTGTGAAATTTCCTTCCCAAATAGATCTTTTTGTCATTTTTTTAATTCCCGAAATTTTATTTCATTTTCTTTTTTATGTTTTTCTGCTTGATCATTCTCTTCTTAATCACTCTCTTCTTATTTCATTTCCACTCTACTTTTCTTTAAAAGAAAACATAACAGAAAGTAGAGTGGAAAAAAGATATAATAAGAAGAGAGTGATTATGAAGAAAAACATAAAAAGGGGAATGAAATAAAAATACGAAAAGAAAAAAAGGAAAAAAAAAACTATTGTGAAGGGAAATTTTACAAAAAAAAAAACACCTTCCCTACTAGAGTGAGAAATAGAATAATAAAAATGAAAAAGAAGTAAGAACAAAGGGGTAGAAAAAGCAATAAAAATATTCTAGGGATGAAAATAAAGAAAGAAAAATTTTAGGGAGAAAAGGAGGGCAATGAAACATGGGTCCGTTTTGAACAAATTTGTGAAATATGGGATTATTTATCGAGAAATTGTCTCATGTAGGAGTAAAACTTAGGAGAAATTCTTAAATAGGAGTATGTATGTTTTCTTCCCCAAATAGGACCATATTACTCCTATTCAAAACATACGGACTTTTCAATTTCATTCTTACCCCTATTACATTTAATGCACGGTCGATCCACTATTCCGCTCACTGCCTTCTCTCTGCTTCCTACGAACCATCCTCACCCCTTCTCCATGGATTAGTTTCTTCTTCCCTGCAAAGATCTGCCGCCTTCTTCTTCTCTGCAAATCAGACTGGTCCACTGCACGCTGCCTACAAATCAGGTTTCTTCTCCTTCCTCATCTTCCTTCTCCTCCTTCCTCCTCCTCCTCCTATTATTCTATTTTTCAGATTTTTCTTCTATTTCTTTGTTTTTTGAGTTTTGGCATTCGATTTGTTGATTTTAAGACTTTTATTTCGTATTTCCATTTTTTAATTTCTCAATTTTTCCTGATTCACTCAATTTTTGGAGGATGACATAAATTTTTGCCAAGTTTATAGCAGAAATGTACATAGATTTTTCCTAATTATCCTCCTCTTCCTTTGTTTTCTTGGATTTTGAATTGATTTTTCAGTTTTCGTATTTCTATTTAGGATTTTGAGTTCTTAGTTTAAAAAAATCGATTTTCCACAATTTTGGATAATAACTTCATTCTGCCAAGTTTATGGAAGAAATGTGTAGATTGATAATAGTAATATGGCAAAAACTTTACTTTTTTGTGTAAACATTTTCTTCTGATTTTTTGTCAATAAATTCGTGTTTCGCATTTCTGATTGTTTGAAGTGGTTATTCCATAAAAAAAAATCCGGTTGATTTCATATTTTTGCCAAATTTATAGCTATTTTGAGTTAATATTCCAAAATAAATCTGCCAAATTTATGCCAGATTTGAAATCCTTGTTTATGACAGATTTTGACAGATTTGTGACGGATGTGGCGGCACTCGCAGGCGAAGTGGTGGTCTAGGAATTTACAGTGGCGGCAGTTTCGATGCAAGGTGGTTACGATAACCAGAGTGACGGCGATCGATGGTGAATCCGGTGTGCGCGGTGATGGTTGATAACACCTGCGGCCTGAGGGGGAGGGGCGGCGCTGGAGGGGATGTGCCGACAGTCTGCAGGAGATGGCTGAGAGAAGCTCTTCAGTGCAAATTGCCTTTCCATTTACGATTTGGTGCAAACCGCCTTTCGCCTCACTATATTTTGGTCCATCCGTATCTATTTTACTCCTACTAAATGTGCAAACATTATTTCCTTGTCCACTCCTAAATGTGCAATTTCTATTATTTTTACTCCTATATTGGTAATTAACTCTTTATTTATATAAGATTTTCAAAGCAAGGGTAAAAACCCTTATATATTAGTTCATCAACATGTCAGGGTTCAATGAAAGAAGGTGATGTACAAAGGTGAGATTATTCTGAGATTACGTAAAAATGGGATTATTATGGAAAGACTAATGACAAGTGAGATTATCTTTGTCAATTTTTCCTAATTAATATGGAGTAACATACTAACATTTAGCCTAGTTGAATCAACCGAAACCAGCCCCACTCAATTACAATACCGGTTCTACTATATCAGTATCATAGAACGGCCAGTACAGAACCGGTCAACCCCTACATGAGTAGTCATGGACTCATGGACTCGATTCGGGCAACCCGGCCCGCTACTGTGCGGGCCCATCCCGGCCCGGTGCTTCGGGTCTGAAACCAGTCCTTGACCTGGTTTGAAGGCCTAAGCGGGGGCGGGCTCGGGCTGCTTAAATGGGGACCCGGCCGAGCCTGGTTCGGGCCTCAAACTGTTTTTTTTTTTTGTTTTTTTCAGTTTTTGGGCTTCCCTAGGTTGGGCTTGATGCTTGGGGGGGGGATGGGGGGTTGGAGGGATGGGGGGGTTTGGGTGGGGGGGGTCAAGGTGTAGTTAGGAAAGAAAAAGAAAAAATTAGAACCCAACCCGAGGCCCAACCCGACCCGAACCGGACCCGGTGGCAAACCGGGTCAGTCCCGGGCCTTCCCCCAACCACAAAAGGCCCGACCGGGCCTAGGCCCAGGCCGGGCCGGACCCAACCCGGCCCGGCTCCATGCCTATACATGAGACTTAGGAAAGTGTCGTTGCTCAAGGATGATGCCAATTCTGTAAAGAATGCTTCGACAGAATACACGATGATAGACTCTTAAAGTAATTAGTACAATCAAACATAACCAAAATTTAAAGATGAAACTGGAGCTCGTAATAATACTTGATGCAAATTAGGGTACGAATTTACGAAATATAGACTGCATAGAAAAAACTCCTAAAATTTGTGGTAAATTCAAACTAAGGCAACGATTTCCACCACATACCAAGTTCGGAATGGGAAATTGGAAATGAGGGGTGGATTCGGGTCAGGCCACCCGGCCCGCTACTGTGCAGGACCAGGACCAGCCCGGTTCTCGGGTCCTGGTCCGGGTCGGGCCTAGGCCAGTGGGGGGGCGGGTCCGGGCTCGGGTCGTGATTTCGGCGAACCGGCCGGGCCGGTTCGGGCCGGGTACCGGGCCTATTTTATTTTTTATTTTTTTCAATTTTTTACTTTTCGGGTTGGGCTTGGTATTTTGGGCCATTTGGGGTAGTTTGGGGGTGAGGGGGGGTTGGGAGTTAACTAGGAAAAGGAAAAAAAATAGCAATTACCCGAGGTCTGGCCCGACCTGGGATTACCTGGGCCGGTCCCGGGCCCCCCATTCCTGAACCGCCGGCCCAGCTCCACCCCTGTTGGAAATGCACAATCAAGCTAATGTGAAATTATATTACTAGTATTAATTTATAGGTATGGATGATTTTGAACAACGTCAATGTGGTAGGCATGTATTGAGCATCAATCCATTCTTTACGGCGAAACAGCCATACCTACACCCCACCCAATCCAAAAAAAAGGATTAAAGCACCCAGGAAAGGCAGATGTTCCTATTAAAAAATCTCTTTTTGCATTAAGAGATGTGGATGTCCATCTACCACATCATGTGATCAGATATGAGAGATACAAGACAAATATTATACGAGTACAAAATACCAAAATTTAAGAATACTAGAAACATAATCGCTCAGAGGATGTATTAAAAAATCACATTAAACATGCACCAATATGCTAGGGATTGGCAAAAAACCTTTTGACAAGCGTGCACAAGTCCATCAAACACTCGTCAGGCTTTTTAAAAATCTCATCTTAAAAACATTCATAGCTCCATGATTAAGTTTTGTTGCAAGAGGGCTTCTGAATTCGTAACAGCACAAAATTTTGGGAAGCATACCCGCATGATGATGATGATGATGTCATAATAATAATAATAATACTATAATTATATCATGTGTCCAGTTCTGCTGAGAGAAGCAAATACACTCATATGTATCAGGCTCTAACCTTCTGAGCTTTGTTTGGCCGGCCTGAATTACTATCCCGGTGCCGCGGGGGGTGCTTCCCACCTCTGAATTTGCCTCCTCTGCAAAATGTTGAATGGCTTGTAACAACTAGTAAGAATAGTTTGCAACACCATTTAAATATTTATAACTGTGGTTGTGCAGTATTTGTTTGCGAGTACACAGTTCGCAATAAGCAGTATTAAAAAGTGGTTGGTAGAGTTGTATGCTTTTAATAATATCGCCTTTTTAATCTCTCAAATGTCTGACATATCTATCTGTTCAGTACAGGCAATACAAATAATGTGACCTTTACAAATACATACATGCAAGTATGTGTATTCATCTCTCATAAAGGTCAACCTCAAAGAATACCGTCAGCTCAAAAATATTTTGTTTCCTACCCTAGTCTTATGGCTAACACAATACAATCATGTGAATTCAAACGGCGGTTAACCCCCATGCACAAAAAAAACACAGAATGTCTGCAAGCTCATTTTTGCCAAAAAAAAACTCATTCAACGGCTCTGATTTTTTTGTTCATTAGCAATTTAACCGTTAATCATGAGTTAATTTTAACCCTTCAATAGTTCATAGTTATAGTAATGACCCAAAACTTTGAACCACTGAAAAGACATAATGGCCAAAATAGATGTCATCCTTGTCGGAATTCTATCAGGCATGCTAGACCAGATAGATACATTAACACAGAGATAGCCTAGTTTAGGTAAAAAGTAATCTTCCCAGTTAAAGGTAAATGCAAATATTAAAGTATGATGCATCTTGGTTAACAAGGTGGAAGTTGCAGTTGATCACAATTATACATCACATTCTTTCATATGCTTTTTTTCCCATCATTTGCAATGGAGTCAGAGACTCACTATTTTGGGCTTGGGAATATGATGGAATAAAGCAAAATGACTCACTGAACTGTCTGTGCTACTTTCTTATGAAGCAGCAGTCAGTCCATGCAATTTTCGACACGATTTTCACTATGGGTCATCCGGAAACAGTCTCCTTGTTCTTTAGTACAGGGGTAAGACTGCGTACATCCGACCCCCTTACCCCCACCGTAGGTGGGGAGCCTTTGTGGCACTAAGGGTAATGATGATGATGTTCTTTCGTATGCTTTTTCCTAAATATTCAGAATCTTTAAATCGTCCTTTTCTCACATAAGAAAGACGTCTTATTTCGTGTGTGTTTGCATGTATACACACACATAAATACATTAATATATGTATATACACACACATACACATCATGCCAACGGGAGTCGTATCAGGCCAACTTCGTTTTTTATCAAAAATGAAGTTAATGATCAAATTGTTGCTCATTTTTATCAACCACTAGTTTCAACTGTTAGATTATAAAAAGATGAACTTTATCGAGCTAACTCCATTTCTTGATGAATTAATCTTAACAATTGAATGTGAGTTCTAACCGTTGAATCTAATAGATAACACTAATGAGCAAAAACGGATCGTTGAATTCCTTTTTGGCAAATCAAAATAGATTAAAACCAGTATACTACATTCACAACTAATTGTATATCCTTACCTTCCTTTATAGCCCTTATAATTGCCTCCTCGTCTCTCCTGGCCACCACAAATCTGGCTCCAGTACTCCTTTTCAGCATCACCTGTTTTTTCAACAACAAATTCAAGCTTTCTATCATAAAAGAAGCAACTACAAACCAAATGCAAGCGGAATCCCAAATCGAAAATCATTAACTACAAAAAGATAAAAACATATATAAAGCATACCAGTCACAGGATCTAAGGTAAGAACACAATTTTTCACTGCCAGGCCACCTTCCACAGCAAGCACAGCAGCAGCTCTTGCCTTTTGAGCTGCCTCAGCCTTCTCAAACCTTATATATCCTGAATCTGATCCCGTCTCAAAATCTACAAACTACAGAAATAAATAAACAATAAGAAACCTTGCTTCTTATTAATAAAACATTTATACTAAACTACCAAAATAAATTATGGAGACAAAATTAAAGAAAATCCAGAGCAAGTCTGAATGATACAAAAAATGAAAGGAATAATTATGCCTAGCAAAAGAATAATAAATAAATTCCAATGAAATTGGATCATCATCAGCCAGGAAAATAAAATATGCCGACCCTAAATATATTTCCCAAAAAGTAAAGCAAATTACCTTCACAACACCAAACTTCCCAAACAAGCTTTTTAGATCGTCACGTAAAACAACATCCTTATTGTCCTTGCAAGGTAAAGATAGTTGTTTTTTTGTTTTTTCGCCGTCCATTTCCATTGGATTCTGTCCATCATTTCCTACTCCGTCATCACTGTCCTTAGCTCTCGCATGCTTTTCTTCTTCATCTTTCGTCTCTTTATCTTCAGTGATGTCATTGTTTTGTTTTGTTGTAGTTTGTACATCTAGAGCTGCTTGTATATCAACATTGTCCTTGTTATTATCACACTTTTCTTCATCTTTTGACTCTTTTTCTTCATTCACTTCCTTGTCATCTCCTTTTGTAATCTGTGTCTCTGCAGCAGCAGGCACATTAACATTGCCATTGGATGGTGTGGTGTCAAGTTCTTCAAGAGTATTCTCATTATTTCCTTCATCATTTGAATAATCTTCAGCAATTAATTTTTTTCCATCTTTAGTGGTGGTCTAAGTTGCACGGAAACGTGAAACGGGAAACGAGAAACAGGAAACGCGAGAAACGTAATTTCTAAAAAAATATAGGATACGAAACGTGAGGGAAACGCGTAAATATTATAAAATATAAGGATATGTTTATAAATATTTTTTAATATATGTACACAAGTTTTTCCATATGCTCATGTTTTTTTCCATATAATTTGTTTAGTAACCAAATAATAAAATCATTCTA